TCACCCAAACGTAACTTCAAACAACTAAAAAAAAACTTTAAAGTAGCAGCATCTGATTTGCTTGTGATACAATGTGCAACTGGCCATCCGCGGCGGTTGTCATCTATTACCATACATGTTAGTAATTGGTACTTATATTGATTTGTGCCATGTGTTTCATCTACTATCAATATTTTTCCACAGTGATCTTTTAAAAGTTGTTCTTGCCTTTTTGTTTGCGTGGCAAACATAAATATTTCATTGGCATCAGGCAAATCATCAATACCTGATGGACCAAAGATCGTTTTTCCTCCATAAGGTTTATAAATCAGAAGAGAATCTTCATCTTTCATTTGATGGGCCAACAAGTAAACGGCCTTGGCATCATCTTTGTCTAACCTAAGTGACATTCGTCGCCTTCTTTCCCTCTCTCTTATTCTTTTTTTAGTAATGACACTGAGCTTCAAGTTTTTCAGGTGTTCAGTGTCTTTACGATTGTATGTTTTGGTGATTTTTTCAAATATTTTGCTGGGAGACACCTCTTGTGATACTTGTTGATTTATAAATGTTGTTATGGTTTCGGACAGAGGCTGATGCACAAAATCTTGAGGGCCACAACGATGACTGTGAGTTGGGAAGTATTCTACCTTCAGTTTGCTATCTTCCAATTCCCTTACAGTCATTTTGGCAATACAACAGTGGCCAACTTTAATTCTTCCTTTCGAATCACACCTGCTTGTTTTTCTCTCGGAGTGGTTTCTTGCTGAGCCATCATGCTGGCAATAGTAATATTGGACATTACTTTTGTTTGGATTAGTGCCAAATTGTTTTGAAAAAAAAGAATAAGTAGATTCTTCTTCCAATTCTTTCCATTGAGAAAATTCCTCAAAGTTTGAGAATATTTTTGTTATCGGGTCCTTTATCTCGAGCTCCTTATGGTTGCATTTCAAATGGTTAATCAATCCTGTTTTGAGGTAAAATTTTAAATCACAATTTTCAACAAGACATGGTATTCCACTAGATTTATTATTTTCCAAACACTTTTTTTCATGTGATTTCAAATTGTCTTTTCTCACAAATGTAGATTTACAATTACTGCAGGAAAACAAACATTGTTCCCTAGATTTATTAAGGGTGCAGTTATTTTCATGTCTCTTGCGACTGCTTTTGAGTGTGAATATTTTGCCGCAAAATTGACAATTATGACTTGTTATTGATGATGCAGACATACTGACATGTCATAGATTGAAGATTTAATCAAGGTTAAAAAATATCCAAGTCACACATTATTAACTAGCCAGCAAACATGTACAAGTCCAAGCACTGCAAAAAAAAAAGTCCAAATAGCACACCATGCAGAACTAAATAAATACAACTGTGTTTCATGCAGAGGCAAACAGTGTGTCAGAAATGTCCCAGGACAGTTAAACATATTTTGAATCATGAAATTCCAATTTTGAAGCTTTGAACAGCTGTCATTTTCAATTCAGTTGTTCCTTTAGAGCTCAAACTTATTGCATTGTATTTTACTAATAAAGACCTTTAATTTGATGTAAAATAACAGTCTGCTTACATTTCAGATTTTCTTCTGATTCTTTGCGGGACCCCCTGAGGAGGTAGCGCATCACTGAATAAAGTTTTAAAATGGTTTTCATGACCAGTAACTTTGTTCTAAAATTGGTAGCTCTATCTTTTTTTTTATTTGTAATTTTTTGGGACTTTTCTACCACACTGTTAGCTATATACGAGTCTATAGACTGTTAACTCACAAGACGGCAAATACATACATAAGATGGTGAGTGGTTATCAATTTTATAGGCCAATGAGCAATCACAATGCTGTCATCAAATAATGAGTATCTATCTATAAATTAATAGGCAAGCACGTTTCTTTAAAACCTTTTTTCTCAGCTCGTGTGCATCGCAGGGAAAATCTAGGCATACTGTTGGAAAGATATTTTCCTGCAGATGTGCAGAATCCCTTTATAAATTAAAATGAACTGTGAAAGTAAATAAATTAAATAAAAAATAATTTAATAAAGTATATAAAGTAATAAAATATTCAATTAGGCTAATTTAATAAAAATAAAGTAAAATAAATTAAAGTAAACTGTAAAAATCCGTTTTTGACATATGTTGATGACAAGTTCAGCTTAACACAATTAATGTTTTAATATATGTTTCCAACTTTAAAATTCTGTTATAGATACAGAAAAACTGATAAATGACAAAATTAATAAACTGTCAGTCTTTGAATTTTTTTTAACGTTTAAACAAAACATGCATAGAAAATCTGGTGTTAACATTGGCATAATTTGGAAGCACTCATATACCAATCATGCACAATGAGCAAATGATTAAACATTGTTAGGGATTGTAACTATGTATTAGTACCTCATGCATGACAAATTCCTGCAAAATTATCATTGAAATATAACATGCGACAATTGATCATACCTTCAGAACTCCAAATTCCATTGATTCAAAGCAGCATGTGAATCATTTGATCAGCATCACTGAAAAAGGCATTTAATAATTTAGTACCTATTGTAATGCATAGCTTATTAAACATGCTTTGTTCTAGGCCACCTTCTTCCCTAAAAGCATTTGTTGTACATACGTTGACTTTCGTTAAAATGCCTCTGGCGTAGGAAAAAAACGTGGGTTTAACAACAAAAGTGTAGAATTAGCAATACTGCATTCCCTTGTTTGAATCTTAAATAAGTAGGCCTATCTTTTAGCGAATTTCCCATAGGCCTATAGGGAATAAGCTATTACCGTAGATCTCATGGTAAGATCTGGTCCCGGGACCGATTTACTTTTTGTTTTGAGATCCCCAGAGGCCAAAAACACCATCCGTTCAAATTCATATATATATATTTACATATAAATGTGTCCGTTAGCTCGATAACTCAAACAAAAATGATCCGATTTTGATGACATTTTGTATAAACGTGTAAACCTACATTTATCCTAACCATTTCGTGAACCAGCATGATCGTACCTTGGAAACGGGGATTGATACAGTAAAAATTGTTTTTCCCCATTTTTGACCCTAAAAACATAAAATTTTAGAATATCTTTCCAAAGCATTTTGAAGAGCTTAAAAAAAGAAATAATTTAATATATTGAAACATTTTAACATTTGATGTATGCGTAATGATTACAGAGAAATTTAAAAAAAAAGTGTAAATTTAAAATTCCTATCTCTATTTTACATTTGGGTTTTAGAAGCAAACAAGAGATTCAATAGAAAGATTAGTAGATTACAAAGAACCCAATTAATTGAAAGATATCATTAAAAAGCTATACAATAAAAACAAATAGTAACAACAATTGATAAAGATTATATAAATTAATAACAAGGATAAAAAAAACGATAACAGTGATAAATATATGATTACGAATAATCAATAACAAAAAAAAGAGAAAATATATACCTACATGTAAATAAACCCAGCTTAGAACAAATAGACCTTAGAAAAAAATAAAAACTTAAATTGACGGAATTTATAATGCTTGGCACTTACTCTCACTGATTGTGTGGCCCTTTAAGCAGGAAACCTACTAGTCCGAAACGACACCTTCCAACAAGTCTTCCGACACCTTCTGATGCTTTCCTTAGTTTTTAAGGCAACAGCCCATTTGCCCGACGGGCTCCGTCAGTAGCTCAGTAACTATAAGCAAATTTGGTTAGTTAGGTTGTGTTATGACAGTTTAATTTTATAACTTAATGAATGCTCTCATTTTGTCCGTATCACAATAAGCCTCTGACCACAGAGCATAAGAATAAATATTGAGGCGGCACTTGCCGTCTGGAGTGAAGCAGGCTTCTCGTACCAAGATGGCGGCCTGCATTTACATTTAAACCATTATATTGTTACCTTGGAAACCACAAATCAATATTTACTTTTAAAACTCTCACCCTAGAACTTTGAAAGCCCGCGGGGCAGAGTCCTTGGTCAATATCTAAGGGGATTAGTTCTATAGGTATCCTCGGAGCGGTAGCTTCATCTAATTCATAAAGTAGCATAGAATAACACAGTGATAATGACACCATGTTTTCAAAGTTCAGAGCCCAACTCTCTTACCAAGATGGCGGAAATCGGCTTCACTACTGGTATGGCTGTAGGTATATGAGTGGCGACTCTATATTTAATCTATGCTCTGTGCCTCTGAGAGGATCTGTGACAAACACAACCACGACAAACAATCGCATTGATAGCAGATGATGTTGTTATTCTATTGAGTAGGCCTAATGAATGATTAACGATATTCGCGAAATCTCATGCCAATAGTGTCTACGATCATTGAGCTTGAAATATCTGACTCCTGGCTATCGAAACAGCAGATATATCTTCGACAATAATAAAGCTACAACAATTATCTTATGTCAATCCATTCTGCACACTAATAATAATAAGGCGTAACTTAGGCCTATGATAACTTAAGCGTAAAAAATTAGCAAAGTTACTAGGGTTTAAAACTTGAGTGGGATCCTAGATAAATACCCTAGCAAAATATTCATCATCCTCACTCAATAATTGTATTTAACTTGGTGTACTACTACTACGGTATTCAATCCTTTTATCTATCAATCACTTTGGGATTAGAAGCCCCTAAGCTTAGTGTACTATTCGTAAGATGAACTCACCTTTTAATTTAAAAAAAGAGTTATCTTCTTCTAAACGCTTCAACCAAGTAACTTACTTTGGTTTAAAGTTATAGTTAGGCACCAAGACAAGCAATAGCAATCAGCTATAACCAAGAGCCCAGTTGTGTAAACATAAACATAAACAAAAACAATGAACAAAAAACATGGCAGCCAAGACAAGCGTAGAGATAGTGTAGGTAGAGTCGACTAGCGCTTCTAGCGGCGAACGCTGTTACTACAAGATATGACGTCACCACACCGTTACTAAAAGCTATGACGTCACCACAACGTTAGCCTGAGTCCCTTCCGTGTGTCCCGCCGGTGATAGCTATCGCTATCTTCACGGCCGTAGGCTTGGCTTGTGTCAGTCAAGTTAGTTTTTTTTGCGCTAGTTGTTTTTGTTTTTGGTTTGATTAATTTTAATTTTCAATTTGTTAACCTCTTTTTCGAACAAGAAAGAATCTTTAGTTAGAGTTGAGTGGTTGTTGGTGGTTGTGTAAATGTGTACTTAGAAAGGAAAGTAAAGTATTCAAGCCAAGAAAAAGTTTCAATTCAAATGAAATCAAGATACTCTCTTAATTAATAATTTAGTGTTTTCTTTAATAACTTAAATATGGCAGACAAAATGCACGTAGATCGTGATTTAGATCTATCGAATGCTTCAAGAGGTGTTTGGTTGGTCAAGGTAAAATAGGTATTAGTTAGACATATTCCTTAATTTAAAAAACCACCGGTTGCACTTTAGTTTAATGTCCTACATTTACTACTGTACTTTACTGCAGATTATAAAATGAAACTGTTCTTAACTAAACCTAACCTTAACCAAACTGCAGTTTGTGAGTAAATGTAGGACGTGAACTGAAGTGCAGCCAAACCACCTTCCTTAATAAAATAGAAGGCTGCACTTTACTTGACGTCCTACACTCATTCGATTGTTTTTTCGATTCGATATTTTCATTCGATTGTTTCATTTGATTGTTTCATTCGATATGTCTTTTGGTTAGTTAGGTTAGGTTAACCATACCTAACTAACCAAACGATATATCGAATGAAGCGATCGACTAATCGATATAGCGATCGATATTTTAATTCGAATGAGTGTAGGACGTTAAGTAAAGTGCAGCCAAATAGAAACATGACCTAACATCAATATTGGCAATTTAATTGGCCATATGATCTTTTATGCTAATTTACATATACTTAGGCCTAGGCCTAAACTTGTATCAAAATAAACAATCTTAGAATCGTTGAATCTATTACATTGATAATAGAAGACTAAGTTTAAAGTGGGTATTTTATTACCTACTTCGATTCCTGGATTTAGAAATAAATTTAATTTAAGTTATTCATAACTTAATAATTACATAACTTACGGTTGGCTATTTGTTTTATAAAATGTTATTTTCATCGTGATTTAAACTTAGCCTCCGGATAACCAATATTTCAATAAAGTGGTTTAAATACCTGCATAAAAGTTATCCAAAATGTTGCTCACAGCAACCGGTTTCAATCCACAATAGGGATCTTCATCAGGCCGATCAGGATGTCAAAACATTTTTTATCTTCTTGCGAAGGTCGTCAAAAGGCGTAAAAAACATGCACACATAGTCACAAAAACGAAACATGGACATTTAACACTAAAGACACAGCCAAAATTATTGCGACGACTCATCCCCGGCGAAGGTATAGTCTAGAATATACGGGGGTCTAGACTATACCTTCGCCGGTAGTGGGCCATGAGCCCCTGATCCCTAGTTCTTTTGGCTCTGCGATGGACTGAGTCCCGCCGAGCCATTAAGCCAACGATCTCCTCACTAATCCAAGGAACGGATCGACTTTTACTAACCCTACGGTTGACAATTGGAGCGTGCTTGTCATATAATTTTAAAATTGTTTCATTAAGTGAATCGACCATATATCATTAACTGACTCCAGGGTATGTATGGAGTGCCAAGGTGTTAAATTGACATCAGAAAAAAAATTTCTTAATAAAAATTTCTAAAATCCTGTAAGATGTAAGCTTTTGTTTGGGCTTGGGAGCTCTCGTGGCTAGGGCACAATAAATTAGGTCATTTTGAGAAATAGCAGGGATTGGAAGCTGGCCATGGTGGACTGAAAGTTTGGGATCTCTTAAAATAATAAGGTCTAGTAGGGTGTCAGCTTCAGCAGTGTGATGGGTCGGGTCCAGTGGTAGTATCGTCATGTTGCAAGAGTCAAACATGTTTGTCAATTGTCTGCAATCGTAACGTCCAGGTTTGAGTAAGTCACAGTTAAAGTCACCCATGATCAAGACACGACTGTAGCCTGGCATGAGGCGCAAGAGAGTATTTTCAAAGTCGGCCAAATGCCCTACTCCCGGAGGGCGGTAATATGTTCCCAGGAGAAGAGCATCCGAACCACACAAACGAATTTCCAAAAAAAGGAATTCGGGTTTAGCAGAGTACTCACCCGGGGACTCGTACAACTGCCTGGCTTGCAAACCGTCCTTTACATAAACGGCAACGCCGCCTCCTGTTTTTCCTAAGCGATCGTTTCTGAAAACGGAATAGCCAGGCAGTGAGATCAACCCAGGCGAAATACTCGGCTTCAACCAAGTTTCTGAAACTGAAATGATTTCAAAATTTTGAGTCCAAAATATTGCTCTGACTTCGTCAATATGTTTTGTGAGGGATTGAGCATTGATGTGAGCAGCTTTGAATTGTTTGGTAAAGGGAGCGAGGTTGTTGATAAGGATCTGGGCGTTATCAGTAGGGAGAGGAGCGGCCGGGGGAGTGGTGACTGAGGCGACGCTGTGCAGGTCTGCTATCCTGGACCTACAGCTCGGACCCGCGACGAGACGCTGACGACGCGCACCGGTGTAGCTGCAACAGACACATTCACACACACACATACTCGGGATATAACACACAGTAATTAACATATCTAAGCTACTATAGAGAAAAACTTAAGCATTCATTACTGACGAACAAACACGATTAGCTTTCAGCTCCTTATTCAAAATTAAATGTACACAAATTGAAATGAACTAAAAATTTTAAACAGGCTTTTAAAACAGATACGAATTCTATACTAAAATATATGTGAAAAAACAAATAATTATAATCATAAAAATAAATGTACCTAGTTATTTAAAATACGAATGTCATGGTTTTATATAAAATTAAAATAATGATTGGTATTACAGTATAAGCATTTGAAATAATTATCATTGATATGCCGCAATCTGGCAATGAATCTAGTAATTTCTAATTTTGTTTAATAAATAAATATATAAAAAATAAATTAATAAAAATAAAAAATAAACTAAGTAAGCTAATGTTTACCTCATATTCACATTTGTAACAATAACAATACACAACTGTGACAGAATCCTAAATAATGATAGTAAAACAAAATAATAATTAACTTGAACTTCCAACTTAAAAACAACTTTCATTAAAAATTAAACTAGTAAAACTGTTAAATCTTGATTAAACATTGTGTAAAACTTATTGATATTTTAAGTTAAAGAAAAAAGTACTGTACTTGTAAATCTTGTATGATATTATAGTTCTAATTATGTGTTCTTATCAGTGCTGTCCGTGGTGTTGTCAGGCGGCCGAGCAGGTAGGTCCCTCAACCGCGTAGCCACCTCCTTTTTGCCGTTGCCGTCGATCCAGAGAATTCTGCCGTCCTGGGTCCAGACGCTCGTCTTCCCATACAGTGACACCGCCCTGTTGTATACTTGTTGGCGAAGATGAGTCAGGTCCTCCCTGATGACGACACCGGTCCCCTTCAGTTTCTTCTTCGCCTGGTACACCATCCGCCGAGCTCGATAGGAGGTAAACCTTACGATTATCCCCCGGTGATGAGGTCGACCGTCTTCTCCCGCCTCCTGGTGTTTGCCGACTCGGTGTGATCTCGAGATGGCGTCTACCGGAAGGTCGATCCCGAGCTTTTCGCAGCAGATTTCAGTCTGTATCTTCATTGTCACGCTCTTTTATCTCGAATATTGGGACGTTATTGCGCCGATGGTATTGCTCCAACTCATCAGTTTTTTCGACCAGTTTTCCGTCGATTTCTTCGACCTTTTTGTGGAGCTTTAACACCACACCCTGCAGTTGTTTTATCACATCGTTGAACGTAGACAATGCCGCTTCAACTGCTACTCTTACTGCCTTCTCCACAGCTGCCTGGATCGCGGCGAGTACCACTGCGTCGATGTCATTGTTGGGCATTGTTGTTGTCGGACTAGTCGCTGGAGACGGAGCTGATAAGGACCGCTGAGTCGTAGTTCGCTTATCACTGCCAGGGAGCAGCACTGGCTTGCCTTTGGAACCCGAACGTAAATTCGGTGGCGAGCGAAACATGTAATGTCTTATATAGGTTATGTTTTAAAATAGTCAATATATATTCTATCACACAAAGAAAATTGCCGATCAGTCACTAAACAACAACCACAAACTACAACGAGCTTCACTGTTATAATTCTAATGAAAAAACATAGATTTGAACCACAGAAAACGTAATAAATAAATGGAGCTGAACTCAAACGTGTTCACACAGCAATGTTCATCCCCTCTCCTAGCAGAAAATTTGACAACTAGGAACATGAAATCAGCTGTTTCCACAGCTGACTGCTGTAAAAATTGGATGAGGCGTATGACTTTCCATAGCGTAATATCGTTTAAGTCGTCGTGCTATTGCCCCACAAAGTTTATTTATGTGGAACTTAATACCGGTACTACTCCTGCCATTGCAAATTTTGTTTAGTAAAAACTATATTGATATCTGTTTTATAATAATTTAACAGTAACAAGCTAATTTAAACCACTACATGTTTTATAACATTATCAATTATCAATTATCAATTATCAATTATTTAAGATGGGGACGCCACTATGTGCGTATTTTAACCCAAATATGAGTGAAGGATGAGTGTAGGATGAGTGGCGCGATCTTGTAGTCTTGTTAGTGACTAAGGCCGACATGTTCCTTAGACACAGCTGTTAATTAATAGCCCATACAGCTAATGGCAACTAAGGGACCTACAGTTTATAGTGGAATCCGAACCACATTTTTCCTTGTAATTTACGAATTGGTCTAATTATCAGGATAGTACTGCGGATAGTCGTAGTACTCACTAGTGCGGACGTTAATCCACACCAGTGAGCATCGCATCCACAGTGCATCCCTATAAATATCCACAATTCGTGACCTCCTAGTAGCTGGATTACAGGACGACGCCACCCGTGTATTTTAAGGATAAAATGTGTGTTTAAATTAATTTTTCCAGGGTCCTGGGGGGAGGGTTGGCTTTAGCCCCTGTAGCCCGCCCCCCTTGGAACCGCCACTGAAGAAACACTTGGTTTTCAAATGTTTTACCAAGCAAAGCCTAGTAGTGGACAGTATCATCTTGTGAATCATAAATGAAAAAGTGAAAAATAAATGGTTTAAATACTTTATTATGTGTACAGTTCCACCAATTATTAATTGCCATGTCAAGAAGATAGATTATTTGTCAGAAAAACTCTCTTAAACCCTAAGATGTACAACAGCTTAACATATGCCGCAACAATATGCAATATGCTGTGGTGCGCTTTTGCCCACTCTGACCCTTCAATTTCTAGAACGCAACCTCCGCTAGCAGCTTGGGCAGTGGAGCTGTGCTGCCGATCCAGTAGTTATATCAATGGTTGAAAGTAGAGCAGTCATAGATTGATTTGTCTAGCCTATGAAATTTGAAAATAGCCTACTGTTAATTTAGTTTTTTTGAGTATCATATGACCATTCTTTCCTTGTTTTCAACTTTGATAGTAGTATTTAATATTGTATTTTGGATATTTCTACAATAATTTGACCATTGTTTTCTTTTTTAGGTGCCCAAATATATTGCAAATAGATGGGAAAAGGCTCCTGGAAACATTGAAGTTGGGAAATTAAAAATTACCAAGTAGGTTATATAATCTTATGTTACTAATATTATAAATGTGAAAGTTTGTGTGTTTGTTTGTTTGTTTGTTTGAAGTTCAATCACGCATTAACTACTGAAAGGATTGGGCAGAAATTTGGCATGATGATAGCTCACATTCCCGATTAACATATAGGCATATTCATATCTCAAAAATCCTTTTGGGCTCCGCCCCAGTGGCTCTGTAATTCCCCATGTTAACCTTATGAGAATTCATATTTAAAGGGAATTAAAGAATTTGGTCAGCTGTGTCAACTATTAAAGTTGGTTCTATGATATGCAAAAGCATTAAAAAGTTATAAGATTTACCAACAGGGTACAGCACTATTATTTTTTTTTTGCATTTATGAAACATCTAATTTGAACTAATAACTGTGATACACAATGAGAAGTGTCAAAGTAGGATTGTTTACAGTTATGTTTATGTTTTTTAATTTCATGAATAATTTGTGATATTTTGCAATTTTTTTATAATTTATTTTTCTCTATTGTTTAGGTGAAGTGGGAGAAGAACATTATAGCTATAGTAGACGTGTAATACTATAGTATATACTGTAAATTTTATCAAACAGTGTTCTCCCCCATTGCAAATGCAAAGCTTAACTGCAATAAGCATTTTATACTTAAATGCCAACCCCGTACGAAGGATGGGTACACTCTGCTAGTAAAAACTATCATTTAATCACAGCGCATATTTTACTTTTAAATAGTTTTAAAATATCGGATGTTATACAGTGTCATTTATCATTATCATTAATATTATATTATTTTATTTTAGACGGGGAAGGAAAATCTGTGCTATTCCCGTCATATGCGGACGTCACCCAGATTGCAAAAAAAAATCACCTGATTGTATTGCCATATAAGTATATATTATTTGTTTTGATTTGATTGTGATTGTTTTTATATATTTTTCTAAATGGTGAAATGGTAGTTGCAATCTGGGTGACGTAAGCAGACGGGAATAGCACGACTATGTTTTTTCCTTCCACCATGGGCGCCATCTATGTGCATATTTTAACACGTTCGCTGCTGACCGCTAGATGCCGGGATGGCGCCAGGAGCTGAACTAACACTCGCCGCTGCGTAACATTGCCGCTGATACACTGAATTACAGTAAAAACAACAGTAGTTATACTGGATAGCAATGTTCTGCAATAAAACTGGCTTTGGACATAGTACTAACTAAGTAATTCTGATAGATATCAGCACTACCCAGTTTGCAGTGGGTAAAGTAGTTGTCGCTATCTAGCAGGAGAGAGGTGGGACAAAGCCCTGTTCTAAACGACCCTGGTGGCGATTTTGGGAAACTTTTTTTTTTTTTTATTGTCAGAAAAGTACGTCCCCTCGAGCTGCAAAGAAATATAGGACGCTTGTGACGATCAGCTGGATCATTTTTCCAACACAAGTCTAGTATATCCTTCAGCTTACTCCTGGTTACAAAAACTTACTACATGACCCATAGACCTAAATTATGACATAGCCCTAAATTATAATTTCTTGATATAATTTCCTATCCCTCTCAACCCTTAAGCACGGGTCACACTACGCTGGCACCAGCACCACCAAGCAGCAGCTTTGCAAGGGTCCCAGTAGGCTGCTTGTCAGCCGCTGGTGATCAACGTCCGTGAGACCTCGTAACGAATACTTCTACACTAGTACTTGATTATTGAGGACGCATGAGAAAAAAGTGACACGTACATGGTGCAATTGACTTTGCTCGAAATTGTTGTTAACTTTAGTGCTTAATTACAGTGATCCAATTGTGAGATAAAGTTCATCTATGTAACAAAATGCAAGTTGAGAATCTTATCTTTCTAAAGGTAAAAATTAACAAAAAAATTAATTTGGATTTAACCAAAACCTTGCAAAACGCAACTATTATAGTCGCTGCCACTACAGAAACCACTTGCTGCCAGATGGAGGGTGTGCTGGTCTCTTCTTCTGTCTTTATATAAATCATATGATTTATATAAAGACAGAAGAAGAGACCAGCACATCCTCCTCTCACAAGTCGAGCGTCTGGGGTAGGTCTAGTGAAATTCATCTTTAAGATTTGATAAATGAACTCGGTTTCTTCTTAATCTTCCCCCATTTTCCGTTTCCACTATGTAGGACCTGGGCTGTTCGTGCTTTTGTATGATTCTTCCTTTTACTTGCTTGTCCCTGACATAAACCATTTGTCCATCTTGGAGCTCTTCTCTTTCTCTCGTTGCATGCCTCTTATCGAACCGGAAACCGAGTTCATTTATCGAATCTTAAAGATGAATTTCACTAGACCTACCCCAGACGCTCGACTTGTGAGAGGAGGATGTGCTGGTCTCTTCTTCTGTCTTTATATAAATCATATGATTATATAAAACCTGATGTTGGGGTTTGTTTGTAAACAGAAATTGTTGTAGTTTGATGTTGTATTAGATGGACACAATAAATGCGTTACCTAATAATTATCATTGTATTGATCTCGGGAATATCTCAAAGGGTTAAAGGAGAAATAGTCTTATTACCAAGAATACCGATGATTTCATCCGAATTACCCTTTGAATTCAAGCGACTACAATTTTCTTTGCGTCTTGCTTTCGCAATCACCTTCATAAGGCACAAGGGGCAATCCCTGACTATCACCAGTTTAAATTTAGAAAATGCATGCTCTTCACACGTATAGCTGTATGTTGTGTGCTCACGTAGTGGTAGGTACGCCTAAAAACCTATATATATTTATACACCTAATGAAAAAACAAAAAAAACCTGCCGCAGCAAACCTGTAGACTAAGCGAATTTCCATTTGCCTGATTGGATTTACACTAAAATGTCTCCTTAAAAATATCACATTCATTCCTTATTTAAATTTAACTAGCTGTTACCCACGGGTTTCACCCCGTTTGACTTTATAAGTATTAATAAAACTATTGATTGATTAAGTTAAGCTGAAATACACAATACCCTCGCCGTAGCAAACCTGCAGACTAAGAGAATTTCCATTTCCCTGATTGGATTTACACTAAATTGTCTCCTTAAAAATATCACTTTTATTCCCTATTTAAATAGAATCAGTTTAACAAGTACTTAGGTTTGCTGCATTAGGGAAGGTAAAACTGTTTTTTGTTGTTTTGTTTTTGTAAAATGTTAGTAGTTAGTAAAAAATAAAAACATTTTCCAAATTTGATCAAAATATGTTCATAAACAAGCAAGCTACAACAGTTTACTTGTTCTCCATAAGAATAACATGGGAATTTAACACACAGGCATTACTGGAGTACAGGTCAACACCAAGTCCATCAGGGTACAGCCCTTCGGAATTGTTGATGGGAAAAAGACTAAGAACCCAACTACCGTCGTTGACAAAAGATCTCAAGCCTAAAATGGTAGATCACAAGACATTTAGAAAATTGGACAAACTATATAGAACAACTCAAGCAGATTGCTTCAATAAACGGCATGGAGTGAGAGATGAAAAGCAATTCACTATTGGATGCAACGTGTATATTCCTGATAGGAGAGAAGATGGGAAGATAGTTAATAAGGTAGCTCCAAGATCATACACAGTTAAGACAAACGAAGGCATGTTACTTCGCAACGGGGTAATGCTAAGACAATTACAAGCCAAAACATCTGATGACCCTGGAACTGAGCCTAATTTTTTTCCTCATTTGGTAGTCAAATAAATCCACCAAGAAGAACATGTCTAAAAAAAGACGAGAAGATGTCATATGTTTGTTATTCTTAAATATTTATTTGGTAATTATTAAGATCATCTGGAGATTATTGTTGTTTTGTATTTACAAATGAAATAATTCAGTTTGTAACATTTATTCCTAAAATAAAAGTTGTTAATACATTATAAAACTTCATTATTTGACAGTAATGGACATACACACTTTTTTATATATATCTAATATATAAAATTCTCGTGTCACAGTGTTTGTCTGCAAACTCCTCCAGAACGACTTCACCGATCGTTATGAAATTTGGTGTGTAAATTCTGTAGGTATGCGAATCGGACGTAAACTATTTCCCGTTTCGAAATTCTTAAAAGGGCTCCGCCCCAGTGGCTCTGGAGTTTCCCATGTTAACCTTATGAGAAATGGAATTAATGAATCTTAACAGCTGTTTCAATTAAACAAGTTGGTTCTGTTCTATGATGTTCAATAGCATTAAAGTTACAAGGATTACCAACAGGGTGCAGCACTATTATTTCTTTTACATTTATGACAACAGCTAATTTGCGACCAAAAGGTGAGTGAGCGTAGCGAACGAACTTCAACCTGGAGGCGAGTTAGCGTAGCGAACGAGCTAACCTGAAGGCAAGTGAGCGCAGCGAACGAGCTCCAACCTAAAGGTGAGTGAGCGTAGCGAACGAGCTCCAACCCAAAGGTGAGTGAGCGTAGCGAACGAACTTCAACCAGGACGTGATTGAGCGATGCGAACGAGATCATCTTGAAAATTAAACGTAACGGTACTTTCTTTCCATCGGTCTGTCTTAGGGGAAACCTATAACTTAGGCGATACGAAGTTCGCCGGGTCAGCTAGTATTTATATATATGAATTTTAACGGATGTCTTTTTGGCCACTAGGGACCTCAAAACAAAAAAGTAAATCGGTCCCGGGTCCAGGTCTTACCATGAGTAAATGGTAATAGATTATTCCCTGTATGGGAAATTCGCTAAAACAACAACAGTAAATTCTGAAAACAAGTCATCCTCGTTTAATGAAATCACATTATTATGTTTCTAATATTATTCTGATAATTCAAAATGATGTTTTTAATTTTCATTAAAACGCAGTATGAGTGGGAGGAGAGTAGCGCTCCCCCCACCTCAGTACGGCCGCGCTGGCTTCAACGAAACTCCGTTGTGTCCCTTCCTTAATGTTTAATCCTCCTAGGTTTATACTAGGCCTAAAATAAAAAGCTGATTGATTATGAATGGTACAGGTCACCGGGACAGAAAGCGCAGGTGTCACTTTCACTCTCCGAGTCTGTGTTGTGCTTGAAAGAGCCTGGAGAAGAAAACATTCCCAAGGACCATCGACTGGATGTGTCTGTTGTAACTCATCAGACACTTGGAGTCTTCTCACACTACTCACGTAAGTAAATAGACTTAGACATACCGGTACACAGGGTTTTAACTGTGGGTAATACAATTGCTTTTTGCCGCTCAGAGTGCAAAAATGACTAGGTAGACTCTTGCAATCATATAATGCGTTTGTAAAGATTGAGCAACCAAAAACCTCTTTGTTACTGCGATTGTGGGAGATGTTCATTATTTCTTAAGCATGTCGCACACACAGGTGCGGTGAACACTGCTGTACACACAAAAAAAGAAACAAATCTGAACCCCCTGTTGAGGGAAAAAATTTATTGCATATAAATTAATAAAAAATCTAAGCCTTGGCTCTGACACTCTAACCAGGTCAACCCCTTCATAGCATGTTGCACTAACCAGGTAAGCATGTGACACGTTATGGGCCCAATTTTAGTTTTTGAGTGGTGTATACAGACATTATTTGTTCATTGTAAGCTACAGTATTATTTATTGTTTCATAAAGAGTTTTTTTTTATATTAGTAAAGTTTTTCTTTCTTTTATCAATTTATATTATTCAAAATATACGTTTATTTACCTTATTAATATTAACTTTAGGGTCCATTTGGCCTATTATAGTCTTTAGCATAACTTGTATTATAACAGTACTAGTGCACCTGTTGCTCGAATTCGAGCAATTTCAAAGTATTACGGGCGTTATTTTAAAACGAATAACAGTCATAATTTCCAATGACTTAAAAGAGTCAACTCAAAGATAATGTAATCAATCATTCCACTCCAGTTATCGAAACTGAAAACAAACGCTCTTGTGTGTATCATGTGTTTACTATGAACAGCTGTAATTAATAAAAATTATTCGTCCGTTTAAGTAAACAAAATCTTTCATCTATAAGAAATACATAGGGATTTTGATGGCCTGTGGGGCAAAGCCCGAGGACTTTTATTACAGGAATTGGTGAAAGGGGGCATCTACACAAACAATACTTCATTTTGACACATCGTTTGTAAAAATCCGTCCATTATTAACGGAGGAGTATTGTTTTGTAGAAATCGGCTTCACGTTTTATATACAGGGTGTTCATTTGAAAACTTTCCATATCTGTTGTGTGCAAAGGTAAGGCTTTTAACACTTGTTTGTTCTCATTTCCCCCTAATTTGGACATGCCAAATCCAATAAAATTATTTTCAATTTCGAAAAATGCCCCAAAAGGGCCCAATTTGGGGGGTAGGGGTGCTTTTTGAGAAATTTTCAAATGTAAACATGGGTTGTGTGATACATCAATTTAAAGGTCTAATCACCCCGACTATTTTGGTGCAATAAAAGTGTAATTATCTTTAACCGTATTTACAGGGTGGGTCAAAACGTTTTTAAAAAGGACTTTGAAGTTAAGTGCCGTATTACCCAAACTACTGAACGGAACAGCGCCAAATTTCTTTCCAAGCTTATTCTTGATCTACTCTTTAAGATAACTTGTAATAAGGGCATTTTCCATGTTATCTTCTAATTTTTAAAAAATCTCAAATTTTAAGAATAAAAGAAAGGTGAAAATTCAAAATTCTTAAATAGCAAGGTATAACAAATTTCATACCTTGTGAAAGGTCCTTTTTTAACAAACATTTTACGTATTTAAGTTTTCTTTCTATCTCTTACCGTTTAAAAATTGCAGTAGAAAAACTGAATTTTCTATGGTAAAATTATAACTAGTTTTCTAACAAAACACATTGCACTTTGCTCAACGATGTATTATGATTAATTACAAATTGATCAACTACTTTTACTTGTGTCAGTTCATCTTGGACCCTTCATCCTGTTTTTTTCTCATTGGGAACTGAGCCAGTTTCAGAAATTTCTTAACCAAATCATTTACAGCTTTATGACTTAAGGTCTTACCTGGATATTTATTGTTAAACACTTTGCAGTTATCCTGAAACACTTTTGTTCTGCCCAATAAGTAAAAATAAAGTTTATTTTTTTAAGTGTACACCATATTCGATTAGATGCTACAGAAAATAGTACTTTTTGAAATTAGTACTACCGTTGACTAGTCAATGGTACTACAGAAAGCAGCCCACATGTAGGTTGTCCTCATCAGCTATAAGACTTGTTTTTCACAAATTAAAACGTAACGACTTGTTTGTCAATCAGGGTATCAATAATTATGAATTGTTTCCTTCAGTTAATGCACCATTAAGTGTGTCTAGAGACGTATTTTGGCTGTTTTATTAAAAACTAGTTACAATATTACTATGGAAAATTCAGTTTTTCTACTGCAATTTTTAAACGGTAAGAGATAGAAAGAAAACTTAAATACGTAAAATGTTTGTTTAAAAAGGACCTTTCACGTGGTATGAAATTTGTCATACCTTGCTATTTAAGAATTTTGAGTTTTCACCTTTCTTTTATTCTTAAAATTTGAGATTTTTTAAAAATTAGAAGATAACATGGAAAATGCCCTTATTACAAGTTATCTTAAAGAGTAGATCAAGAATAAGCTTGGAAAGAAATTTGGCGCTGTTCCGTTCAGTAGTTTGGGTAATACGGCACTTAACTTCAAAGTCCTTTTTAAAAACGTTTTGACCCACCCTGTAAATACGGTTAAAGATAATTACATTTTTATTGCACCAAAATAGTCGGGGTGATTAGACCTTTAAATTGATGTATCACACAACCCATGTTTACATTTGAAAATTTCTCAAAAAGCACCCCTACCCCCCAAATTGGGCCCTTTTGGGGCATTTTTCGAAATCGAAAATAATTTTATTGGATTTGGCATGTCCAAATTAGGGGGAAATGAGAACAAACAAGTGTTAAAAGCCTTACCTTTGCACACAACAGATATGGAAAGTTTTCAAATGAACACCCTGTATAAGGATTCACTGAGAGCTGTTTTTTGCTCATACTTAAGATAAAAATAAAAGTTTAGGAAAAAAATTAAAAGGTAACTTATGAAATTGCTAGTAAATTTTATGCCGATTACGAATTTTGACATCTATATAGTATTGTTTATTATTATATTATCAACTTCACAAATTGAGTACTTAGCAAATAAATTAAGTTAATCCGCACCTTAGTCCTGCCCTCCACCAGGACTAAAAATTGCTCATATTTATTCCTCGAGTTAGTCTTTGTTACCCAGTTTCGGATTAAATATTTGGCTCCAAAACCTGATCGTATAAAATTTAATTCGAGGCTTAAGTAACCCGTGACTCTGAAACCCACGAAAGTAAGTCCGGGACTAGTTAACTCTCGGAATAGACTTAGTCGTTGACTAGCGTAATCCTTGAGCTCCAAAACCCAATTTCTTAGTCCTAGATTAAAAACTGGTTTGAACTGGATTTTAGTCCAAGAATAGCGTTAGTCCCGAGCTCCGAAACCCGCCCAAAGTTTTAGAATAAATAAACCTACCACGTAGATATGAGTAAAATATGTTTTTTAATTTGTTTGGATCAGCTGTCTGAAATTGGAATGAGCATTTAGCAGTTCTGATTGTTTACATTGAAATGTCAACGCAAAGGTAAACATTGTGAATTTACTAATTTAAACATCTTTGCCACCAAGACTGATTTTCGAATATATAATAGGTTACGTACCTTGTCCGTCTTCAGTCCGGGTCAAAGCTGTGTCGGTTTGTCCCCTGTATTAATATGGCCGGCCTATCGTCTTTTAAATGTTTTTCAAATGTGTTTTTTAACTGTGAACTTTATGTGTCAAACTGTATTTACATGTTGATGAAGACTTCTGTCGGATTTATGACCAACTCCAATTGATGTTTACAAGGATTTGATAATGGGTCTTTGACCCAAAACTAGTCATTTATAGACTAACTTAAGACTGAACGGACTAAGGTATGTATCCTATTATATAATTTTCTAATGCTTCCATGGAGACCAATTAATATTTACTTCCATTACCTAACCTAAAATTATTGGATATTTTTCAGCTTTGCCAAATTCAGATGCTATCGTTCCTGAATCGGAGAAATTATGTTTAGAAGGAAGAATCGTTCAAAAACTAGAATGTCGACCATATGGTAAGATTTCCATAACATTTTATTCTGCAAGAAAATAACCCCAATGATTTGTGGTTTTTGAGGTAGTTGTTTGATCAAATAGCATAGTTAGCATAGCATCATAGTGACAATTGTCATTGTTGCAGACGATATAGGCAGTGTACAAGCCATACATTGACCTACACTTAATAGGCGTGCACCACAAAAAAGTATAATTTATCGGTTATTTTTGTTGGATTTTCAATGTTGAGGTGTCGTTATGTTTGCTTATAATATCTTTGTGTTACTGCAATTGTGGAAAATGATCATGATGTCTACAGCGAGTCCCACACACAGGCGTGGGGAATTGTGCTGTGCCGCACAGTCCCATAGAAATAAAATGTATTCTTTTTAAAGACTTATGGTTTTATGGTTATTCTTGTTAAAAATAAATACAAATGGCAGCCATTTTTAATTTTGAAATTTGATTGAAAGTTTCATTATTTTACATAAGCTAGTGACACTAGTACCAAGTAGATTCGTGCAAAATTGTAATGTTCTAGTAAGGTCAAGTAATCTAGTAACCTTTACTACCTAGTAAACCCCAAATCACATAGAAAACTTTGACCCCCTTAATCTGGGGTAAGTGTACAACCCCCCCTTATTGTAGCTTTCCACTGCATATTAGCCTACTTGAAGTTGGGGCAAGTGGATTGTAGAGGGAAAAATTAGCTTAAAAATTAGTGGATTTTTTATTTATCAAAATATATCAAACAGTTCAGGAGTTATTAACTTTTTCGTGAACCTACACAAGGGAAAACAGAAACCCCAGCTTTATTAGAAATTTGAAAGAAAATGATTATGACTTCACTATTTCATTGAATTAACAATTACTAAGTCTCAAAGAGCAGTAAATGAGCTTTATTTTGGTATTTTAAACTATACAGTAGTTAGGAGTTTTTTCGTAAACCTCTGCTCGGTGAAGTAACTTAAAACCTTAATATTTTAAATTGTAATTGACTTAGGCCCTGAATTAAACCTTAAAAAACTAAATTTACAAAGTGCTAGTTTTTTCTTGCCATTCAAGCAAGAGATAACAACGTTTTCTTTATTCTTAGATAATTTATCAGTTATTGGGGGGGGATACCATGGGAAAAAGTACACTTACCCCTAACGTCACACAAGCACACAGGGTAAGTGTACGCCCCCCCCCCCCCCCCCCAACTCCCCAAAATTGACTTTTAGGGCTATTATAATGTTATTTTTTTAATTCCCCCTCAAAAAATAAGTAAGATCATAAAATTTCAATTAGTTATCATTGTATTTTAATTTTTAGTAATTTTTTTAATTTTCCAAGTAGCACTTGTGTTTTGAGTAGAAACGTAAAAGGTTCTTTAACACGTCTAAACTTATAAAAATCATAACAAGAGTATTTTTTAGTGATAATAATTTAAAAGAGCATAGTTTGAAATACCTTTGGCCAAGTTTTCATATTTTTTGTTAATAAACAAATTTAGGCTATTATTAGCTGGAAGTCTACTTGCCCCGGGCGTACACTTACCCCACTTGACCTTATCATCACAGTGATTGAGGAAAACAGAAATTTCAGAGGGTTTGGATGCAGTTTTTATATTTGTTATGAACCCAGAAATAATATCGTAAAAGGTTGGTAGAATGTTATGAAACATCCTGTATAAATCAAATCAAATCAAATCAAATCAATTTATTGTTGTAGACATTTCACAATGTTTTAACAATCGTCATAAAATACATAAATTAGTACAGCAAATGAATACTTAGATGTAATAAATCAATATAATAAGTTCTAGTATTAAAAAATATATAAATATATAAATACAGGCACAATTAAATAGAAATATTTTGGCATGTAAAAAAATCCTCCACTGTATATGGGCATTTTTGTATTAAATATGTTTTCAATTTTGATTTGAAAGTGTTCAAGGACAACTCCCGAGACTCCACTGATAAATTATTAAACAATTTAGCTGCCATGTATTGAATGTTTGTTTGACTCTTTGAGTATTTACAGAGCACTGTTTGCAAGTTGTTTTTAAATCTGGTTTCATAATTATGTCTATTTGAATTTTCTGAGAACATTTCTAAATGATTTTTTACATACAACAGAACTTGAAGAATATATATTGCAGGCAAAGTTAAAATTTTGAAATGTTTAAATATAGGTTTACAGTGAGTTCTAGAGCGTACACCACTTACAAGCCTTATCGCTCTTTTTTGCAATTTAAATAACTTTTTGGTATATGATTGGAAACCCCACACCAATATTCCGTAACTCAATAAACTATGTATCTGCGCATAATACACTGTTATCAAAATATCTTGTGTTACACAACCTTTTAATCTTCTTAAGCAGTATACACCTTTCGACATTTTGGTTGAGGTTATGTCAATGTGATCCTTCCAATCTAGTTTTGCATTTAGATTAATTCCAAGAAATTTTAAAGGTTTTACCTCATTTCATAGAGGCTGCCTATTTGAGAAACAAATTTCTAAATCTTGCAATTTATTTAGATTTAGGCATAATCTATTTGCATTACACCACTGATAAATCAGATCCGTAGCATTTTGCAGGATGTGATTCATTTGATCTCTAGATTCAGAACAAACATTCAAGCCTAGGTCATCAGCGTAAAGAAAACTATTAATGTTTTCACCTATCAAATTGTATGGCAGATCATTGATATAGATATTAAATAGCAGTGGCCCTAAAGAAGATCCCTGAGAAACACCAACGTCTATATTTTTTCCAAGAGATAACTCATTTTTGAAACTAACAAATTGTTCTCTATTTTTTAAATACGAATTGATAAGTTTAATTGAATTGTCTTGAAAACCATAAAATTTTAATTTGTGTATTAATATGTTGTGATTAACAGTATCAAATGCTTTTGACATGTCAAAAGAGCGAAAGCAAACCAATCTTTTGTTCTCTATATTTTTAACCACATCTATAACTAAACTAACAACAGCATCATTTGTGCTCTTCCCAGAGCGAAACCCAAACTGCCTATCAGTAAACATGTTATTACTTTCAAAGTATTCATACACCTGGTTATACATTAGTAATTCAAACCACTTTGATATGGTTGGTACAATTGATATTGGTCTGAAGCTTTCATAACTATCATTATTTTTCTTGGGAACTGGAACCACTTTAATTTTTTTAAGTACTGTTGGGTATACACCCTTTTCTATCATCCTATTAAATATTGTGGTCAATACTTCACAAATACTAAAAGAAGCGTGTTTAAGAATAATCGAATTCAATCCATAGATATCCAAACATTTACTTGTACGTAAGTTATTAATAGTTTTAAAAACTTCTTCAACCGACACAAATCTAAACTCAAAAATATGCTGTCTCATATCTACTTTTCCAAGAAAAAAAGTGAAATCAGGTTCATGATGATTTATCCGTATGTTTTTTGCAATTTCGTTGACACTTAATATAAAAAACTTATTGAATCCCTCAGCTGTAAGTTCTGAAATTCCTGAGGACATCCTCGAATGGTTAGATAGTTTTTTAACAAGCGACCACACAGCCTTTGTTTTATTTTTACTTTTGGATATTAAACTATTGTTGTATTCAATTTTGGCTTTCTTAATTTTCTGTTTATATGTTTTACTGAGTGATTTATAGGATTCTTTAATTTTTAATGATCCTGTTTGCTTATACATATCATATAACATGCAACATTTTTCTTTAGTTTCAAATAGATCCATATTAAACCACTTATTATCTGATTTAGCTTTACTTAACTTAAATGTCTTTAACGGAAAATTTCTATCAACTAACCCCATAAAATTGGTATGAAAATTTTTAACCATAGTATTTATGTCAATTTCTGAATATGTATTAAGCCAATTGTAGCATTTTAGATCTCCCTTGAAACCTTGACATGCATGATCTGAAATAATACGTGAGACTATGCTATTTTTACAGTTTATAGTAACACGTCTAAACTTATAAAAATCATAACAAGAGTATTTTTTAGTGATAATAATTTAAAAGAGCATAGTTTGAAATACCTTTGGCCAAGTTTTCATATTTTTTGTTAATAAACAAATTTAGGCTATTATTAGCTGGAAGTCTACTTGCCCCGGGCGTACACTTACCCCACTTGACCTTATCATCACAGTGATTGAGGAAAACAGAAATTTCAGAGGGTTTGGATGCAGTTTTTATATTTGTTATGAACCCAGAAATAATATCGTAAAAGGTTGGTAGAATGTTATGAAACATCCTGTATAGTGATCTGTGTGATATGGATTTACTATGGCACTACTGTTGGTGATGGCCATTTGTTATGGCCTGGTTCCCTAAATTTAGATTTATTTAAAATCTTTTCCAATCAATTATCGTATCCAAACACAATTGAATGTATTTCTAATTTTTTTTACAAATTAATGTAAACTCAACTGATGTGGTTAGTAAGCTATTAAATATAGCTAAGTAAGTATTTTTTCAAACAAATTTCCTTTTGTGAGGGAATGTTGTGCATAGCGGTATTTTGAATTATGACTGGCCTCACTAGCATATTATTATCTGGCTCTCATTATCAGTCTTAAAGTACAAAAAAGCATGAAAAAATCCTATGTTAGTTGTATACTGGTAGATCTTTTTTTGTCTTTCAAATTTTGGATTGGTTGTTAAGCTAAAATCCTCATCCAGCACAGAACATTTACAAGTATTGTGTGGAGGAGAAACGACAAAGAGGGGTACTCTAGACCGATTTTGAGAGTATGTGAAGTATCCGTTGTTTTGAGAATTACTGCTTGCTATTCCGTGAACTAGAACCTAAGGTTATTGGCACTGATGACAATGCTACCTTGTGAGCTTGACATTGGGGTCGCTGGAATTTTATCCCCCCGCAATTTTACCCCCTGGGCAAAGCTGACGTCACAATGAGGTAGTAACCTGAGGGCTCAAAGTTTGTTTGCGGGCGGTATTTGAGCCCTTATTTTGAGGCTTATTTGAGGGTATTTTACCCCCGGATTTTTACCCCCTGGAATTTTACCCCCGGACTTTTACCCCCGGACTTTTACCTCCTGGAATTTTACCCCCTGGCCAGATATGGAAATTATTAACAATGATTGATTTTCTTATTTCTGTTTTTATTTAATTGTAAATATTTTATTATCAAGTAGCCTATTTTTATTGATTTATTTTTTTAATATCAACTAAGTAAACAGAATTCACTGTTTAATTTTGATATTTGGTATTTGCGTTTGGGGCCAACTGTTGGGTAATAAGTATGTAAAATAAACTGAGTAGCTCATTTAAATCATAATTGGGTGAACATTTCTTAAACGATTTCATTGTACCTCCGTGAAACACAATGTATTTCGTTTCTGTAGTAAAATAACACAAAACACAAACATTGTTTTACCACGGTAGTATAATAAATCGTTAAAGAAATCTTTGAAACAATTAACATTCAGATGTTTGTTTATACGTCATATAAACCAACAGTTGGCTTCAAAGATCGAATCCTGATACTCAAATCTCAAAATTAAAATTAAAAGCCTTTTTGATTAGTTGATGTTGCAAATAAATTAAGATAGGCTACTTAATAATAAAATGTTTACTATTAAATTAAAACTGAATGAAGATAAATAATCATTATCACTAATTTACATATCTGGCCAGGGGGTAAAATTCCGGGGGTAAAAATTCTGGGGGTAAAATTCCGGCCCGTACATTCTAGGTTTTTATAATTTGATGTGTTCTGATTAAATTCATAACCGTGAAAATATACGTTTAATTCTGCGTTTTAATCCGTGGAACTGATGTCACAAAACTCAAAAGTTCGCAGCTGGAATTTTACCCCCTGGTTTGTGACGTCACGTAAAATTTGACGCCCTGGTTTTCCCAGGTGGTGAAATTCCAGGGGGGATATTATATCCGCTACCCCTGCCATTGTAGAAACTTGGGTAATCCTACAATAATGTTGATTGATTTTAGCTGACAGCTGTTACATGAAGCTCAAGCTGGAATCCATACGCAAGGCCAGTGTCCCAACCAGGAGTGTGCAGCAGTTGGACAAGATTGTACAGAACTACAAGCCTGTATCTGACCACAAGCATAATGTCAGTACCTCTTGTAAAACCTTTATTTTCATTACTCTAGCAGGAGTTGGTGTAAAAAAAAACAATTAAATGTTTTGAAAATATAAAATAACTAGCAGAGTACCCGTCCTTCGTACGGGGTTGGCAAATAAGTATAAAATGCTTATTGCAGTTATACCCGATCTTTGCGTTTGTGATGTGAGAAAACACGGTTTGAGAAAATTTGCTTCCTCAAATTTACGGTATGCGATAGTATTACACATCTACCATAGCCATAATGTTCTACTACTTCACCTACACAATAGAGAAAGATAGATTATTAAAAAAAATTTGCAAAATATCATAAATTATTCATGAAATTAAAAACATAAACATAACTGTAAACAATTCTACTTTGACAGTTCTCATTGTGTATCACAGTTTTTTGTTGCTGCTTAGTTCAAATTAGCTGTTTTCATAAATAATGGAAAAAAATAATAGTGCTGCACCCTGTTGGTAAATCTTATAAATTTTTAATGCTTTTGCATATCATAGAACCAACTCTCTTAGTTGAAACAGCTGGCTAAATTCTTTAATTCCCTTTAAATATGAATACTCATAAGGTTAACATGGGGAACTGCAGAGCCACTGGGGCGGAGCTCAAAATGATTTTTGAGATAATAATATGCCTATATGTTAATCAGGAATGTGAGCTATCATCATGCCAAATTTCAGCCCAACCCGACCAGTATTTTTCGTGTTTACTTGTCACAAACGTACATACATCCATACATCCAAACTTTCTCATTTATAATATTAGTAGGATAGAAGCCATGGATACTAATGAGAATCAAATCTACCAAACACCACAATCCTTACCTTACAGACAGAAAATGAGCAAGATTTATTAAATATTTATATTGTCATAGTGTATATCTTTGTTCTTGGTCATAACAATGAATACAAAGCTTTAGAAGCGCAATGCCTTTGTAAAAAATTCAGTCTGGAAATATTTGAATTTCGGATAGTTCCTGCTGCGGTCAATAGCTAGACTATTGCTAGCACACGGCCAAGTCAACTGACTGGATGAGAGAAAGTGAGACAAAGAATCAGTTTAGAGAGAGAAATAAATAGAGTAACACGGCTGCCACCCAGCGATCGTAGCGGTGGCTGCGCGAAGCTCATTTCCAGTCTAACTATTCTACCTAAGCATTTAGCTTCTTAAAGGGTTTGTATTCATTGGTCCTAGTTATGGTTGGTTGATACCAACCATTGACTATTGGATACTGAAGTGGACATCCCATCCTTAATGGAACAGCTGTTGCCAATTCTTTATAAAAAAATAAAAAAACAGTTCTGTGAGTTAGTCACAGAATTAACTAGTTCCTTCCTTATTTTTTGTTGCTGACCAACTTGAGGGAACATAACAATTACTATAGTTCACAAAAAACTTTCATTGGTTAGACTTGATAAAAAAGTGTACACGTGTATTCCACAGAAATTAGTAATTTATATCAGCACAATCTGTCGGTGGCTCACATCAACTATGCCAATTTTGATTAAAAAACTGGCAACAATTTTAACAAGGGGATGAAATGACTAGTCTTATAGGTATTAATAGTCAAGGATACAACAAACTTTAACGTTGACAAATTATTGATTGTTGTTAGAGAGATTCATAGCATGTGTGATACAAATTTCTATTATTATAACAAATTAAATTTTAATTTTTGTATCAGATCGAGTATGAAGAAAGAAAGAAAACTGAGGGTAAGAAGGCAAGAGATGACAAAGATGTTGTCCTGGAAATGTTGTTTGCTGCATTTGAAAAGCATCAATATTACAACATCAAGGATCTTGTAAAGAAGACTAAGCAACCTGTAGTAAGTATTAATATGAAGCAAGTTAAATCTTATTGATTTACAGTGAATACCACCATGGGAAAAGAACAGCTATTATTAATAGGCCCTAATACAATATAAGTGATAAAAAAGTTTAATAAATGTGTTGTTTGTCAGTAATCAAACAATGTGTTGTTTCAATAACATTCATTCCTACTTTAAATTAATAACGTTGGATCTCAATTAGGCTTACTTAACCTTAACCAGCCACAGCAAAGCCCAATGATAGTATAAAAAATAATACAATTTCTTAGATGTAAATACCCCTACTACAGCAAACCTGCAGACTAAACGAATTTCCCTTTCTATCTGATTTTATTTGCAGTAAAATATCTCTTAAAAATGTCAAATTTATTCTCTCTCTAAATGACTCCTAATTCGGCAGAGACGGTGCTGCTTTTAAGCTGAATATCACACAGAAATAGCATGGGATCTTACAGAACTTGATTGTCCACAGAGAAAGTCAAGTAGGTAATTGAAGATCAGACAATCAAGACTCTACAGTACCAACCATATTTTGTCTGTGGTTTGCTGCACAGCGTTATACATTGAATGTTGTACCATGTTTATTCAAGGTTCTATTGTACCACTACCAATACATGATTTGTTATTTCGGTATATTAGGCCTAATTATTATTAAAACAACTAAATTCTCAAGGTGGGTCTTAAATTTAAAAAGGCATAAAATGTATGTATCAGGTATATTCAGGTAAAACATCAAATTAAAATCTGAGAAATATTTTTAACATAGTATTTTTGAGAAATGACAATTGGCCATTAAAAGGACGAGTAGGATAAAAATTAACAAATGTAGCAAAAAAAATTAACATCCTGAAATCGCTTGGTAGTCTATTCATTCTAATCAGGGCTGCTTCCCTGGCTCAGGGATGCAAGTGGTTTTAGAATGTTTAGGGAAATAAATGTTGCTTAGCCTGTAGATGTGCTGTAAGTAACATGACATACATCTGTTTTCAGGTATATTTGAAAGAAATTCTGAAGGAAGTTTGTAATTACAATTCCAAGAATCCCCACAAGAACATGTGGGAGCTGAAGCCTGAGTATCGACACTACAAAGAGTCTGAACAGGCAGCCCAACCATCCACTTCAGATTGACTCTAGTCATTTGGCTAGTTTATGTATTTATATTTCTACATTTTGTTTGTGTTTTCAAGTATAATAAACAATATTACTATTTAAGGATTGATGACCATTTAAATTCCTCGGATTTTCCCAATTCAACTAATTGAAGATTTTGAAAACATCTTCAAAAATGATTCATGCTATGCATTTATGCTATTGTGTAGTAGCAAAATACAATTGTTAACTGCCACAACTGTCGCCATTTCAGTGAAAAGTATAATCATAAAGTATAAAGTAACTATCAAATGTTAAAGCATTGGTTGTGTGGGATGACAGCTCAGTCATCCAGTGCTCTTAGGGGAAGGGGAGAAAGCAAAGGAACCTCATGTGTCCAAACATCTCTATGCTTTTAAAACATCTAAAAATTATATAAAATACATTTTTTATTTTTAACAAGTTACATCATTGATTGTACGTTAACCCTGGATTACAACAGTGTATTATTTTGGAAACACTGCTGTATTTTGAAAATGTGTATATTGCTTTATAAAAGCTCTTTATTAAGCTCTCCAAGTTAAAAGAATGCACTATTCACTAGACACTAATTTCGGACTATTTAAAGGTGAACAAGATCTCCAAGCCTTGAATTCTTAAGAGTCCTTGGAGGCTAGCGGCCATCTTCGATAGTTTCAAACATCTGCTGAAGAGCTAATTATCATCCAAAAATAGTTTTTCAAACATTAATGTGATTATAATTTAAATATCTTGTATACTATGAGATTAAATAATTTATAAATAAAAAACTTTTTTAAAACAAAATGTTTTTAAACGCACTAATTAGTATAAACATTTATAAATATGTGGAGATTATAAATACTTGTAAGATTTAAAGCGAAAAACGTGGGGTGCATGCAATAGATAATTTACAATTACCTTCACCTATTGAACTACTGACGGGACCACATAAGTTTGCAGTTGGTGGCAGCCAATCACAAGACAAGGCTAGTGCGACGTTGCCACATCGCCCGTTGACCACAACAATTAAAATATACTAAGCAATATTTTCAAATCAGCTGGTATTATTAGATTTGGCAACACCGCACGGTTCTCATTGGTTCATTCAAAACCCTATGGTAAATAGGCTCCTCCCTCAACTGCAAACTTACGTGGTCCCGACAATAATGTATTATTATCAATTGCATGCACCCCACGTTTTTCGTTTTAAATCTTACAAGTATTTATGCTCTCCACATATTTAAAAAAGTTGTTTATTTATAAATTATTTTCTACTTTTTAGTTTTTAATATGTGTGGATCTATTTCAAGCATCTATATCAGATTAAGACAGAGGCATGTGGGAAATCTAAGGTTTATTTGAGTTTTTTTTTCATATAATTATGTATTAGATTGAAAGAATGGCCTACCTACCAACTATAAATATATCAATTATTTAATTTATTGTTTACTTTATAGAATCTATACTTATTTAATACGCAAGCAGGTTTTTTGTGACAATTACTCCTCCGAAACTACTGAACCGATTGACATGTTTTTGGTGTCATTGGAAAGAGCTTAACGTGAAGTTGTGCAGGAAACTTTCTTTTTTGGGAAATAATTAGAGAGTGGGGCCCTGGGGTCCTTTAAAGTTTCGTATTTATCCATAAGATTAACATGGGAAACAAAATTTGTTATGGAACTCCAGCTGTTGTCAGAAAAGTGAAATATTTATTGATGGTATCCATGGTAACAAAGAACAAACCCACAAAATTAAAAAAATGTAAACAAGCAGAACTCATTTTTTGTCAAATTTATTTTGATTTCACAATTCCACACAGCTGGTCCAAACATATTAAATACTGCATGATTATTAGAACAGGAACGGTATGGATCATAAACATAAATAAAATGTGTCACTCGCCTGAATGTAAACATTTAAAATTGATTAAATGGAACTGTCAAACTATATGTTAATGTCATTAGCATGGGATTCTTTCAGTTACGTCATTTGTTGACCGAGTCTGTTCCAATATTTTTGAGCTGCTGTAATAATATTTTACAGGAAATAATTATTATATAAATTCATGGATATAAGTAATAATTCAGATTCTTCAATCATTGCTGTTATTAAAACTGTGTATCCACAGCAAAGCTTTAGACTAAGCGAATTCCCATTTACCTGGCTTAATTCTAGAATGATATTCCCTGAAAATGGTCATTTTTTGTCCTATTTAAATAACATTAAGTTAATTTTAATATGAGTACTTAGGTTTGCTGCTACAGGGAAGGTAGGTGTGTTTTTGTTGAAATGTTGATAGCTTAGTATGATTGTTATTGGTTTGAAAATCCTGTAATACTTTACAATTGCTCGAATTCGAGCAAAATGTACACTAGTACTAAATAAAACACAATTGACATTATTAACAAACACCTTTATATATGCAATCAGATTGTTCATCTTTATTTTGAAATTTTTGTTTGTATAAAGAATCTCTTGGGAGCATAACCTGTACCTCTTAACCTCTGCTCTTTGAACTGCCAAATCTAAGTATTTACAGCTGACTTAAATTTATTGATATATTTACATTCTTTCAAAATGTAAACATGAAAAATTTGGAAGCCCATGGGGCGTAGCCCAAGGGAAATACGAAAATTATATGATATAATATTGCATTGTCATCCATTTGTGAGCTATGTTTCAAATTTCAAGTCTCTAGCTCATCGGGAACTTCGTTTGAAATTTATATCAAAATTTGTAGGAAAGCGAGCTAATAAAAACAAGCCCATGGGGCGTAGTCCAAGGGAAATATGAAAATTAAATGATATAATATTGCATTGTCATCCATTTGTGAGCTATGTTTCAAGTCTGTAGCTCATTGGGAAGTATCAAAATTTGCAAGAAAGCGAGTTAATAAAAACAAGCCCATGGGGCGTAGCCCAAGGGAAATATGAAAATTAAATTATATAATATTGGATTGTCTTCCATTTGTGAGCTACGTTTCATGTTTCAAGTCTCTAGCTCATCGGGAAGTTAAGTTATTATAAAATTGATTGCAAAATTTTTACCGGACAAGAAAGCGAGCTAATAAAAACGTTTTAAAATTGTCTTTGATGTATTGAATTGATTTCCAAGGGAGTTCATGAAATCCAACATCCATCTTGGATTTGCCCGCCATAAGAGCAATGTTAATTTTGTTATTTTTAAACAGTCGCTTATTTACCATCTCAAAATATTTTTTCAAATACCAAAGTGATTGTAATTTAAATTTATAGTATACTGTGAGATTAAAAGTTTGCTTTGTATTTTTTAAATTGTTTTATGACATAGAATGTATAGGCTCCAAGGACTCTTAAGAGGGTATTGCAAACATTGGTTGCCAAACAGTGGTAGCACTATAGCTTCAGGTGGCAGCCCTCCCTGTATCACAAGCATGATGAAATCCACAAGATGAGTACATTTAATGTATCACATAAACTTATCTGTTAGCATGCCAAAGACACAAAGGCCAATACTTGTTTTATAGATAACAGTCCACTTTTGCACAGTTAGCTACTGCTACTATACTTGTCTTCTTCATTGAAAAATCCGATCAGGATCAGGCCAATATAAAATTAAGTTAAGTCAGCAGGTTTGCTGTGTCCAAGGTCCTATAAAATGGAAATGTAAAAAACGTCCAAACCAGCTGTGTATGGAATGATAGTAGGGGGGGGGGGAGCTGCGAGGGCAAACTTGCAAGTAACCCTGGAGCCCCTGAGAAACCTTATGAAAAATACCTTGAAAAACTAGCAGTTTTAGACCCACAATTTATGTGTAAGATCCGGGGTAGCCAAAGACTTGAATTATGGAAAAACGTGAATAAGTGTGAGGGAATGAATTGTTGACAAGGAGTAATTTAAGTAAATTTTAGAAGAGGGTTTAACACCCAGTGAAACTGTATATCCTTGCGTAACAGCTCATGAAACTCCAAAAATATTCCGCATTCACGGTGAAATCGTGAAAATCGTCTATCGTGAACATCTTCTGCTGTAACGGTAAAATAGAGAAAATTGTATGCAGTCACGATTAAACTGTGAAAATCATGGTAAAACCAAGAAAGGTTGAAATCGAAAACACCGGCGGTCGAACAGCACGATTGTGAAAACCCTCCATGGTTACTGTACGTCTTACCGCGAAATAGTGAACATGCTCCGTGATCTCGGATCTCAGTAAAATCAAAAACATTTTCCACAGTCATGGCGAAATCGAGAAAATCGTCTGAAATCCCAGTAAAACCAAGAAACTTCAAAATCGTGAACACTTCCTTGCGCCCAATGAAAAGTTGAGAATACTTTTCTGTGGTGATGGCGAAATGTTGAACCACAAGGTATAATCGAGGATATTTCCCACGATAACGGTGAGATCGAGAAATGAGAATATCTATGGTCACAGCAAAATCAAGAGAATTTTTCCTGGTCACGGCGAAATTAGGAACATATTTGCCTAGGCTCGAGTCAACCTTGGACCGATAATGATTTTCGGACCGAACCGATCCCTCGGACCAACTCTTAAGCCTGACGACCCGAAAATATATTTAATTGATTTTGTATCTATGAGCACGAAGGTGAGATTCTCTTCCCTGCATAACCCTTTTATAAATTTTATTCATCCACCTCTTGGGTCTGAACAAAAAATAAAATAAATTTAAATTTAAAACTTTCTTTGGTAATGTGCGTTTTTCTTTAAAAATCCTCGCCCAGTGGTTGGTTTAGAAGTCCTTTTAAACAAACTTCAAAAATATTTTACATTTGTCCCTGATGGCACATAATTTTTTTAAGGTATTACACTTAAATTTGGTCTTCTCGTCTTTTTTACCAAGGCAGCCGATACCACGCCTTTTTACTGGGTGCTACATCAGTGGACTCTTAATGGGCACCCGCAGGATTTGATACAGGGGGGGTGCAAATAGGTCTAACGAACATCTGGGGCGTCCGGGGAAAATTTCTGAAAATATAGTGTTTTAAAATGTTTTTTACGCTAATTGGTAACACGTAGAACCGACCAAAACAAAATAGTATATTGTGCATCAAGAAGGGTAAGTTTTCGGAGAAATAGAAGTACAATAGATTTAATCTTTGCGGTAA